CTACAATAAAATAGAATAATAAAGTCCCATTTGGCAAAACATAATATTAATATAATCTATCCACGCCAATTATTGTATTGTACCGTGCACTAAAAAAGACGCACAAGTAAATAATATAGGCATAATAGGTAACTATAAAGTGATTGCCCTATTGATAGGCGGACTTAAAAAATCAGATTTTTTGCCTCCCAAAAGATGCATCAATCAAACAGTGACTATCTATTATCAAACAGTGACTAACTGGACACCAGAATTTGCATAACATTGAACGAAAAATATGCGTTGGAAGTAAATGAGAACATAGAGCTAGTAATGAGAGAATAAAATTGATTTCTTGAGGCAATTAGTCAATTTAATGCCAAATGTAATTGCATAAATCTTCGTAACGCATAGATAGAAATATGAGAGAAAGAGGGAAATAGGTCAAAACTTGAGATTAATTAAAATTAATAGGCCAATAGTTTACATAAGTTAATAAATAGGTTAAATTACTGTTTTCGTCTATAACTTGTCTGCTTATGAACCATAACTTGACAAGTTATTATCCATAATTGTCCATAACTTGTCTGGCTATGAATCATAACTTGATAAGTTTGTCCATAACTTATCTGGTTATGAACCATAACTTGACAAGTTATGGCCTATTAATTTTTATAACTAAATATTGGCCTATATACTTTCCTAAGCTTTTCATATTGGCCTATTTTATACTATTTCCCTAGAAATATTACAATACATTTTTTTTGAGAGATTCAGTGTTGGGCTTGGAGAGAGGAGACAGATGAATTAAAATCTGAAAAACATAGGATTCAACAAGTTCAGGACGTCGTTAATAGTGTTGAAACTTTGAATGAGCCGCCTGCGACCGTCTGAAAAAATCGATTTTGAGCCCAACGCCTGAGCCCGCCCGCTCGAGCCTGAGAAGGCCCACGAACGGGCCGCGGGCCTGGTTTTGGCAGCCCGAGCCCGCCCAAATGGCCCGAAAAAACATATATTTTTTATTATAAATTTTAATTTTTATAATATTGTATATATATATATATTATATATAATATGCTAT